AAGCGACGAAAGGCCAAAAAACTGCCCGGAAGTGCTCGTCGGAGCCTCGCCAGAAATCGCCTCCGGCGACTCAAAATCATTCCAAATCACCTCAAAATCGAGGGATAGGCTGATTATGGGGAGGAAAGGGTGGGTGTGGAGTTGAATTTGTGAAAAAACCGACTAAAAATGGCCGAAAATTGACAAGGAGGGCGAAAAGTCGCGGTTTTCCGGCAAGGGGGAGAGGATTCCGGCGAGAGAAATTCGATTTTCTGACCACTCGGCCGTGTCGGCCAAATTTATAGCCCGTGGCTCGGCCATACGGGCAGGCTCACACGGCCGTGTGATATGCCACATGTGCCCGTGTCGGCCGACACGGGCAGGCCGAGGATTTCCACACGGCTGTGTGCAAAGCACACCTGGCCGTGTGGAAAATAGCGAGAGCTCACACGAACTAGGGCCAAATCCACACGGCCGTGTCACAATTACAACTGGCCGTGTGGAAATTTACGAGAGCACACACGGCCAAAACCCAATTCCACACGGCCGTGTGACTTTCAGGGCTGGCCGTGTGGGCTGCCAGAACTCCGAAATTGACCTGTTTTTCACTCCAACTCCGAAATTGACCTGTTTTCACTCAAAAAACACAAAAAATCAAAAGGAAAGAGGTAAGAAAATGCAAACCTAGGTGGGGTTGCCTCCCCACAAGCGCTTCTTTACCGTCTTTTAGCTGGACGCCCATGGTGGATACTCAGGGAGGTGGAGGAACAGGTGCCTCCAAGAGCGGATCCACGTCGCTCTTGAGGTACAGCTTCAGGTTGTGGCCATGCACCCGACGGATGTGACCACCATCATCGGTCAGCTCGACCTGGCCATCCGGCAAGATGCAGGCGAGTGAGTACCCGGACGGCCAGGGTGGTCGTGGTGCAAGAGGTGGGACCAGCTCATAGTGGTCTCCACCTTTCTTCCGAACAGGCTTAGCCACCTGCGGCTTCGGCCGCCACTCCTCCTTGAGCTTTATGTTTGGAGGCGAGACTGGATGGAGTGGCGGCGAAGGAATGATAGGAGTGTCCTGCAAAATGAGAGGTGCATAAGGATACATGACAGGCTCGTGTACCTGATCAGAAATGGCATGCACAGGTGTGACAGCAATCATAGAACAGTGATAGAATTCAGTCACAGAAAAAGTAGCCTGTTCATTCCCAGCACGCAAGATCAGTGTACCATCATGCACATCAATAAGTGCCTTGGCGGTGGCAAGAAATGGTCTACCCAGAATCAAATGCACATCCACATCCTCATGTATATCAAGAATAACAAAATCAACAGGATATGTTAATGCACCTACACTAACAAGCAGATCCTCTATGATCCCCCTAGGATGCACAATGGAACGGTCAGCGAGCTGGATGCTCATCCTAGTAGGGCTAAGTTCACCTAAGTCTAGCTTCTTAAACAACCTATATGGCATGACATTTATGCTAGCGCCTAGGTCCGCCAAGGACTTGCCTACATGCATGCTGCCAATAGTAAGAGGGATAGTAAAACTTCCTGGGTCCTTGCACTTTTCGGGCAGCTTGTTCTGCAGGATAGCAGAACACTCCTCGCTCAGCAACACTGTCGAGAGATCCCCAAGTTTCTTCTTGTTGGTGAGGAGATCTTTCACGAACTTTGCGTACTTGGGCATGGGGGAAGAGAATGAGGGCTGGGTCTCCAGCCACCTCTTAGCATTCCCCGATAGAGAATGGGGGAAGAGGTGAAGGCGGATTGCGTCATCAAGGACACCATTCAGCTTGAACCCGTTTGTCAGCTGCAAAAAACGGGAAAGATGCACCCTAGCCTCCTCATCCTTCAAGCCATGGAACTGGATAGATGATGTAATGAGTTGAATCCGCATGGCTTGATCTCGAAGTTGTTCGCTGAAATAGGCGGGTAGAGGATGACCGGGCGAATGTCAGCAATCCGTGGAGTGTAGTAGTACTCCAAGGTGGGACCCGGAGGCGGTGGATGATGATGAACCCCATCTGCCTGGGGTATGGGGTTGTTCCCCAAGACCTGATTCACCGGGGGAGCCTGCTGAGGATTCCCCTGGTGTGGATTGTGATCTCCTTCCATCTCGTACTCTTCCTCAGAATCGCTGCTCAAGTGGCCTTCTATGCGCTCCGCCGTTGCCAGTCTAGCTCGCTGTTGTCTCTTGAGTTGGCGACAGGTGCGTTCAAGCTCCGGATCCAACGACAGTAAACCTCACGACTGGCTACGGGTCATGCACTACCTGCACATAGTCAAGCAGCAAACCCGTGAAGGCACAAGTGGGACAAAGCAAACAATGCGAAAAGAAAAGCTAAATTAACAAAATTCACGTTTCTTCAACAACCTAGCCATCCCCGGCAACGGTGCCAAAAACTTGACTCACTCCTACTCTCACTCTAGAAAATGTCCAAGTGTAACCACTTCCTAAAGTGTAGTATAGCGGGTTTGGGTTTTAATGTCAACCTGGATCCTAGATGTGATGACTACTCAGCGAATTCTTATTAATTAGCGGTGACACTTTAGTGCAGGTTCAAACAAGAAAAACAAGCAAAGCAGTTAAACGGTTGTTTTCAAGTCGAGAGAGGTCACCCGGATATGGTTCCCCCTAGACTGCAATTAAGCCGGATTGTAATTTACCAAGTTCAGTTTTAATGATAGTTATACTGCGGGAGGTTCTTAAGCAGTCTGAAGTCTCGACTAAAGGTCTCTAGACCCTCTCAATCTGAATCCCCAGCGGGCGACTAACCTCCACTGGAGTAAACAGATTGAGGCCCTAACAAACTAAACCTCCACTACCGAAGTAAATTCGGTACAGAATAGTGAATTGGCTCCTCGACTAAAGTCGCCAATTCACTTCCTTCAATTAAGGGTGCTCTATCAACCTAGGCAGATATTCTCTTTCTAGGTTAAAGCAGAAACAACAGGAATTTGATCAGGATTCATGCCATTCAATCATTCAAACCTCAATTGAATATAATCAAATCATAGAATCTGTACTTGGGTTCATACAATCAGACCTAACATACAAATCTAGGGTTCTCCATACCCAGATGAATAAGAAAACTACTCCATAGAGAGAGAGAGAGAGAGAGAGAGGGAAAATCTAGCTCAGATGCGGAAACCATACTGTGAAGGATGATAATCTGCTTCTGGCGCTCAATCGGATCTTCTCCAAGCTAAAGTCGGGCTCCAATGGTGATGAAGATCAAGCTAGGGCACTTGGAAACTCTGGTTTGTCACTTTCTCTCTCTAGGAATCACTCTGTCTCTCTAAAACTCGGAACCCTTCACTTTTGGCCTTCTTTTCCCTTAAGAAGCTGTCTATCGTGATCCCCGGTCTAAATACCCGGTCGGGTATTTTGGGTGGCGACCGGGTATGTGCAAAACGCACCGTTGTGCAACAGGGGAAATCCCCGGTCATGGCCAAGAATCCCCGACCGGGGATTTTTGCCTCCTGCCCGGGCCCCCTTCTGTTTCTCAAAGACGCCCAAAGCATCAAAATCCTAAAGCCAAGTAGGTTCAAAAACTGAATCTTGCTTTGTGTGATATAGGAAATTAGGATGTTAATTGATGATAGGGAGGAGGCAAACTGATTTGAGAATTTACTGCATTTGATTCCTTTTCTCTAGATTTAGTGGAGTATGAATATAGCTTTGTATGCTAGGACTGATAATGCTTATCAAAAGCTTTGCTGCATTTTATTCAAGTTTAATGGAGTATGAATATAGCTTTGTATGCTATGATTGATAATGCTTATCAAAAGCTTTGCTGTATTTTTTCATTATCTTTTTGTTATTGTGTTTATTATTATCCAAAGACATTAGGAGTTTGATGTTGAAAATGGTATGGATCTGTTCTGTTGATGAAGTCAAGTCTGTGTATAACTTTAATTAGCATCTATTTAGTATTTCCTTTCTCAATAATGATGCCATTTTTCGGCATATTGCTTCACAAAGTGTTTAAGTTATGTTTCAGTTTTAGTTTTTTGGATTTCTTTTTGAATTTGATATGTTACTTTCATGCCTTTCAACGTGATGCATTATAGAGATTAATCATCTGAGTTATAAACGCGACCTCTTGATAAAATAATTGAATGAACATTTTAAATTGCTTGAATCATATTGCTGGAGTATTTTAAATTGCTTGAAACATTGATAAAATAAGTGTCATGATGAATCCTAGTAATTTAGATGAGGACTTTCGACATATTGATTTCGTTTAAATATTTTATTTTTATAATAGTTGAACCAAATCGACCCGTTTGACGACATAAAATTGGACGGGGCAATGTAATTAGGTAAATTTTGAACTAATCCATTTTGTGACAATTACAAGTTTATGGAATGATAAAAAAAAGCATTTTAAATTGACTTGTTCCGTAAAATGTGAAAATTATTTCCCAAACTCCACCATCCAAATGATCCAGGAAATTATAAAGTAAGAGATGACACCTACAACAAATACAATACCAGGCTTGAACATGCAACCAAGCATAATTCGTACTCACATGGGGAACATTTGTCGGGGCTGAAGTACAGAAGCAAAAGAGAAGGTCGACCAGTCTGGTTTGAGGTCTGAAAGGTTTTCCGTGTTACAAATGGCCCACCTGCTAATCGACGATGAAGAAGTTTGTGAACGATTCCCTGCGCTAAATTAAATACTTTGATTAACCACCAAAGTTAAAAAGAATTCCAAACCCCATTAGTGTGTGAAGTGGAAACTGGCAGAATGGAGTTGAGAGCCATATATATAATATAAATTAATTCTCCTTTGTCTTCTACTTCTACAACGAGCGTAGGAATTGGCTTGGGTCTCTCTGGACTGAGGATGGAGGAAAGGAATCCATGCCCACGTCAGTCTGATGAGGGCCCAGCAATCCTAATCCTTTTTTTCCCTCCAATCTCTTACGTTTTTCTTTTATATTTATTTCTCAAAATTGAATTCCCCTAGCCTTTGTCTTCCTATAAATATGTGTTGAACACGAAGCAGAGTCAGGCTTGAAGCGGCAACAGCTTAAGTCCAATCCTTCAGGAACAATATTCCTTCCTTTTAACCCCTTTCCCCCACCATCAAAATCTTAAATTCCAACTCTGATTTCCCCCAACTCACAACAAAACCAGAGCCAGTTCCCATGGCGTCGTCGATCGACTCCAAAACCCCCATCAAATTCCTCTGTAGTTACGGCGGCAAGCTCGTCCCCCGTTATCCCGACGGAAAGCTTCGCTACCAGGGCGGCCAAACCCGCGTCCTCGCCGTCCACCGCTCCGTCTCCTTCTCCGGTAAATTACCCCACCTATTCCTCTCCCCAATTTCATCCCCTGTATCTCTCCCTCCAGTTCAGATATAACTGAATTTCTTTCAATTACCAACAGAGCTATTGACCAAGTTGAGGGAGTTCTGTGGAGGTGCTATGGTGAGCTTGCGTTGTCAATTGCCGCCGGAAGCAGATCTCGACGACGCGCTCGTGTCAATCGTCTCCGACGAAGATCTGGCCAATCTAATAGAGGAATACGATCGATCCCCTGTTTCGTCGTCGTCGCTGAAAATCAGAGCATTCCTTTCGCCGCCGTCGAAGAAACAATCGCCTGCCCCGTCGTCCACCACTTCGTCTTCTTCGTCCAGCTCCTCCTCCTCGTCGTGGTCGTCATCTAATACTTTCGCGGCCACGATCGACTCTCCCAGGTGCTACCGCCGGCAGATTCCGAGGGCGCCGGTGACCAATCCGGCGAGGAAGTTCCCTCCTCCTTCTCATCACTACGGCGGCCACGTTTATCTCAATCTCGTCCACAACGGGAATCATTGGCAATAACGGTGTGTGGTTTAGGGACTAGTTTGGATTAAAAAGAAAGTTAGTGGGGGAAGGCATATATTATATAGATGAAGGAAGTGGGGAAGGTGAGTGGAGGGGATGATACACGATGTAATTGTGGGAGAGGAAATTTTAAATGAATTATCAGTCCGTCCAAATCTCCGGCTCCGGCGGTATTTTGCTTCCCAAAGTTCGTTAGGGTTAGCCCCACAACAAACTTTCGGTCGCCTCCCGTCCACAGTTCCGTTATCCTCCGTGTTTTTTCTGGAGCGCTGACGTAAATAAAACAGGCTTATCAACTTCTCCCATATTTGTTTCTTTTCCTTCCTATTCTTGTATTTTATTTATTTGTGCAATTGGCTGGATATAGTTTTTTGTGTTTATGAATTATGCTGCCTACAAGTTTCTTTTATTTTTAGTTTTCTAATATTATGTTTTCTTCGTGGTCAGGTAGAGCTGAGGAGGCAAGGAGTTCCGGCTTGGAGATAATTGTGATTATGAGCTAGTTTGGCCTGTTATAGTTTTTACAAAAACAAATTTTGGTGTAGTATTTTTTTTTTTTTTGGCATAGATAATTTTGGTGTAGTATTTACTTTGGAATGCTTTTTGGGTGGTAGTTTTAAAGAAATATTTTTGAAAAAAAATGGTAGAGTATTTGCCGATAAACTATTAGGCGTACTAAGTCATGGAAAATGACTAAAAATAATTTTTAATATAAAGTGTGAATAAAAATAATAATAAAATCATCAAAATGCATCTCGTTGGATTTCTATTACATGAAATGATTATATTTTTATAATTTATTTTTCTTATAATTAAGTACCTAAACTTTTAAAATTTTACAAAAAGGTCCAGAAATTTTGATCATAAATTTACATTTTTGTACCTTTATATGTTTTCCCTCACATTATAGTACTTAAACATTTAATATTTCACAAATAGGTCCAATCTTTTTTTAGGAGGTATTTCAAATCACTAGTTGTTGAAATGTATTTGAAGTTGACAAGTAATACACTAGACATGTATTTGGAATCATCCCATGAATCTGGCACAAATCCAAATATCAAATATAATTAATATCCAAACACAAGATTTGACATTTAGAAATTCAAATCACAAATACCAAATCCAAATCATTCTATCCAAACACACCTAAGTAATTTTATGTGATATCATGTAATTGTCTTGTTGAATCAATGACTATCAAAATAACATGAAACCTAAGTCTCACGCTCACATTACTATTTAATACGTTTCCTAATGAAGTAACTAGATGGGTTGCCACAAAAGTCTAAGTGTATGATCTAGGAAGGGTTTCTTGGCACTCAAGCCATTGCTAGTGGAAGTGTGCTTGAACGAAGTTCGTGATTGGTAGTGGTTTGGAAGAAGAAAAGTCTGGTTTTGGCCAATGCTAGTGGCTGTTGAGTGTAGAGAAGGTTCGTAGTCGAAGCCATATAGAACCTTCGGTTTTAGGGTGAAGATGTAGGACCTCATGCTATGTTTGCCACCACCCAAAAAGGTCTTTTCCCCATGTCCAAGACAATTGTCAGTCATTTGAACCCATGTCTAAGACCTTCGAACAAGCTAGTAATGACAATCATCTCGTGAACTCTAGCATTTAGAGGTTTCCGTTGTGGTGGAGAGACAATAGGGCTGAGTGTCGATGGTTGTGCACATGTTTTGCACCAAAAAGGTCCTGACCCCACTGGTCGAGAGTGAGTGATTCATTCACATCTTGCATGTTCATATTTTATCCCAGTGAATACCTATGTTGCCCTCGTCGTTTGTGCCTTGGACTTGAACTCTATGCACGGTTAGTTGTGGTTGGTGAGTGGTCTTGTGGGGACTTGCATTGATTTGGGAACAGGGTGGGAACTTTTCATTTGCATTCGAATGTCGTTTGTGGTGGATGTCGGTATTGTTTGTAGCGGTTCATGTGTCGATTCCCACTAGCCATTGAGATTCACCAATTGTGCGCTTTGATTTGTCCTCTAGTTATCTTGTTGGGTTGAGATATTACCTTGGTTGAAAATGGTTTGCTTGGGGACAAGCAAACGCCTAACTATGGGGGAGTGATTCGGGCCAAATGGTACACTTTTTATCCCCGTTTTCCTTAGGCGTTTGAGGCATTTGCACTCCGAGAGGTGTGGTTTCAAGCTAGGTTTTGCCTTGTTTTAGCGTGTTTCATACACAAGCAGGTGGAACCATCCCCGGAGTCATAATTTGGACGAAAAGACTCAAAATCGGGTCAAATGATGGAGGCAGCCGCAGATCATGGTTAAAAGGACCGGAATTGAGGCCATCAATCGTGAACCGCCATGCGCCCAGAGCCATTTTTGGTCTCACTGGATTCAAGTCAGTTCACGGTTGTAAGACCGTGAACCCAAGCCAGAGGCTGTACACTACAAAATTTGGCCTATTATGACAAAAATTATTTTTTGTCATTTCCAGGTTGTCACAATAGGGTGTGTAATATGACAAAACGCGACGTTGTCCTATTAGGTGTTCCTAATGTGACAACATTGAGTGTTGTCATTACAATTTGTCATAGGTAGGTACTGACAAATATCTTATGTCACAAATAATGTTTTCAAAATAGGCATCTCAAATCGGGAGTAGGAGACTCAAAAGTGACAAAATTAATCTACATAATAGCTTTCGTCATATTATACCGTCATGACATGTACAAATGACAAAGCATCTTGTCATAATAGGCATTATTATTCCTACGACGAGCTGCCAAAATGCAGGTTCGTCATAATTTGTCGGTTTTGCTTTTTATTATGTCAAATTAGGTTGTCATAATAACTATTAGGCGCAATTAAAATATACTTTTTCTTTTTAGTTGGTGAAAATTAGAGTTTAACGGACGACTTTTTCAGTATTGGGAAAATTTCCCTCTCCTTCCCTTTTGTTCCGTTTTAAATTTTTATAGAGGACGGTTTGGATATGTATAAAGAGACGGTTTGTGTATTGAAGAAACCCTAGTCGTCCCTCTAACTTTCATTTTTGCCCTCCCTTTTCTGTTGTTTCTCCCCTTCCACTATGCTGTCGTTTTGTCCTCTCTACTCCTCGTCTTCAATCATGACCGGCTGGCTACTGCAAACTTGCCCTAGAATCAGTACAACTTATACCAAATATTACTAAAAAGCATAGACCAGGAAACCGGATCATACCGGCCGGTTCAACCGGGAATTGGACCAAAAGCGGTACGGTGGGCTGCTTGTGCTGATTTTACCGTGCCGGCCGGTTTTTTCGGTTTGACCGGTTGAACCGGCCGGTACGATCCGGTTTCCTAGTCTATGATTCAGCTTCATTTCTACGTATTCTCGTCCAATATGTGGAAAATAATTAAAAAAGAATATTATTTTGCTATTTTTCTATGTTGAAAATGGGTCACCGTGGTTGTATAATGCTCTATTTGGTTCTTTTTTTGATGGATTATATTTTTTATACTATCGCATTTCATTTCTCTATCAATAGTGAAAAACGGTTTTACCGATACAAAACGGTTGAACCACGGTCGTACCACAAAATACCATACCAGAAAGGAATCCGGTATGATGTCCAGTACGGTTTCCTTTACCATGCTACAAAATTAAAAGCACACAACAAACAAATTATTAATCAGAAAGAGAAGAAGAGAGACAAACATAAGGAAGAAACGACAAGGTTGAGTTGAAACAAAAAAATTCAATCCTTTTTTTGATTCCTGAAAACGTGAGATAGTTGGGAGAGTTTTTCTCTTTATTAAATACTAATTAATTCTCACCGTTAGATTTAACTCATTTATCTCTTACAATTAAAATTTATTTAGTGATATCATTAAATATTGGGCTTAGTGACGAATCATCTCCCCTATTTCTTTAGGAAAAAATCCCAAAGTGCACATGTTCTTAAAAGAAATTTCCAAAATACATAAATTATAAAAAAATTTCCCAAAATACACATGTTTGGCATTCACCGTTTTTGACAAACGCAGTAAAGATAATCACCGTGTTTGACAAACGGTGAATAATTCACCGTTGAAAAAAAAAAACGGTGACGTATTCACCGTTTTCATCTAAAACGGTGAAGTACCAGCGAGGAATCACCGTTTTAGACGGAAACGGTGAATCAATAACCGTTTTAATAAAAGGCAGTGATATTTAAACCGCTGTGATTGGCCACGATGAAGCGAAGCGGATCGCTGACGTGGACAAATGCAGTGTATTTACCGCGTGAGACAAACACGGTGAATACCCCGTGTTTGTTTGCGTCAGCGATCCGCGTCGCTGCCGCGTTCACCGTCGCCGTTGGATGCGGTGAGGCGCGGATCGTGGTTTTCTTCCCAGATCCGACGTCTCACGCTAAGCCACGTCACTCGATCCGCGCCTCATTCACCGTCCTCGTTAAACGCGGTGAATGCTCCACTTTTTCATTCGGCAGATCCCTTCCCCCAACTATAAATAGACCCTTCCCCCACCACTTACAACTCACACCACAACCATTTCACTTATTTCTCCCTCAATTTATCCGCTCTAGTCTCGTTCTAAGTATGCTCTGTGGTTGCGGATAAATCCGATCTTCCACATCATAAAGAATTACTAGAGTTTGACCCTAAAGCCCCCGTCCCGCTAAGGTCCCGTCCCTTACAAACCTAAACCCGTCGAACCTCTGTCCGGCTTCTGCCAAAAAATGGACGAAGAGGCTCTTCGTGTAGGTTTTTTTTGTGTTCTTATTTTTAATCGTAAAAATTTGGTTTTGTGATTTTATTATCAAAACAATTTCTGATTTGATTACTTTTTTATAGATGGGTGCCGAGATACACGATCCTCGATTGTATATCCATTATGGGCCAAGAGATTTGAGACTCTTAACCGATCAAGAAGCTCATCGCTCCCGTGCTATTTTGGGATAACAATCCGGTAATTTTATGATTTATTTGCTTTATTTTATTATTTTCTAAGGTTTTATTTTGCTTTATTTAAACTAACAAATTGATGTTTTTCCTATTTTTTTTTTTGAAGGAATCACTTATTCCCGTCGTTCATAAAGGGACCACAAACTTGCCCCCTTGGCATCCACTGTTGGCGCCCTATATAGAGAGGACCGGTTTGGGTATGTTGCTCCATTTCATGCGGATCGAAATCGACAACGATCTGCTTACGGCAATGGCGGAGCGATGGCGTCCCGAAACCCATACGTTCCACCTTATGGAGGGGGAAATGACGATCACTCTCAAAGATGTGGCGATCCTCACCGGGCTGCCGATTACTGGAGATGCCATCATTGACACTTCTACCAAACCCGAAGGAGGTTGGGAGCCGCTCATTCTTGGTGAGATGGGATTCGACATGCCGACCACCACACCAATTCAAGGACGGGGCCATCCACCGTTGAATGCGTGACAAGTGTCGGTCCCGTGGCTGGTAGCTCACATCCAGAATGAGGTGCAAATCGATGACGAGACTCCGGAAGATCAAGTGAAGCGCTATGCACGCATCTACCTCATTGGTCTGCTGGGTGGATTTCTGTTCCCCGACAAGTCAAACCGATGGATTCAAGGCATATGGTTGCATTACTCACTGGTGACTGGGACGCAATCTGGGGAAAGAGCTGGGGATCGGCCGTGTTAGCTGGCATATACCGGGAGCTGTGCACTTGCTCGAAGGTGGGAGCAAAACAAGCTGGTGCTGCGATGTTCATCCTACAGCTGTGGGTATGGGAGCATCTTCCAATGTTCGCACCT